AACATTTGCCATTTCATCGTGGTCTGAGGGGAGTTTATAAATGCAAACCTTATTTACTTTTGACACCCGCCCTACCCCCCCCCCATCACAAACGTTGTTAGTTAGAAAACATTACGAAATATCAAGTGAATTTCAAATCAATGAGACATCCATGTTTTCCTATCTTAAAATTGGTAATTTTCAGTTGTGGGTTCTCTGTTATAGTGAGTATGCGGATTTATACTGAAGAAACGGTGACGGAAATAAATAGAATTCAACCTTTTATATTAAATTGATTATTAAAAGTTATCAAAACGTTTACTTTAGAAGCATTTCTGTTAAAATATTTAAACTTTATATTTGAGTGTTGGTGGGTTTAATTAGACAACTTTTACACGGAGGAGTCTCAGGAGGCAGGGTCTTCTATTCGTCTTTCTATAGTATAGTCTGGCAGGTTGAAGAAGTTTTATACCAATATTGGACTCCATTGGAGAAGCGTTTTCTTTTCTTGTGTTTCTAGTTTAGTCTGTCAAAGGGAGGAAGTTTTATACCAATATTGAACTCGACAGAAGACCATTTTCTATTCTTGTGTCTCTAGTTTAGTCTGTCAGGTGGAGAAAGTTTTATACAAATATTGGACTTCATTGGAGACCATTTTTCTTTTCTCCTGTCTCTAGTTTAGTCTGTCAGATGGAGGAAGTTTTATACCAATATTGGACTCCATTGGAGAACATTTTCTATTGTTCTGTCTCTAGTTTAATCTGTCAGATGGAGGAAGTTTTATACCAATATTGGACTCCATTGGAGACCATTTTTCTTTTTTCCTGTCTCTAGTTGATAATGTCAGATGGAGGAAGTATGAAACCTATATATCCTTGTTTGAGAAGAGTGTACACTGTACAATAATGTAAACTCTAATTTTCCTATATATATGTAGTTTGCAAAAAACAAAAAACATGTCTAACAATGGATTCAAGATGGCGGAATCTTTTTTTTAGCTTTTCATTTGTCTCCAGTAAAGATGAAGTTGGTCTCCAGTGAAGAGAAAATGGGCTTCTGTTGTAGACGAAACAATATCCAGATTTAAATGGTCTCCTTAAACACGTCTCCATGGGGAACATGAAAAGGGTCTCCAGTGAAGATGAAAAATCTCCATTGTAGAAGAAAAGGGTCTCCAGTGTAGATGAGAAGGGGTGCAAGAAGTTAGAACGCATAAAAATGTGTCTCAAATGAAGAAAAATACCATCAAATCTTATGAAATCTTCTTTTACCTTGTGCACACCTGGTCCCTAGGGAGATATCAGGATTCCAGAATTCTACAAGATTTTACTTTTAGACGAGAATAGAACAGATTAATGGAATTTAGGATGGATGACTGCAGTTTAAGATGGATGGAAGGGCGAAGGGGGGAATGAGGGGGAGGGGGTGAAGGGGAATATTTAATATCTGACATATTGTGATTAACAAAATTTTATTAAATAACAAATCTTCAATGTGCAGGGGAATGATAGCATCAATTCGAAAAATTAGTATTTTGTCAAAAATCTACAGTAAAACCCTTAATAACTAATACATCGAAAGAATTCATCAATGTCGTATTCTTCACTTTCTGATAATGGAATGTTGCAGATATTTAGTTTTTTAATTAAATGATTATATGGAACTCTTTAAAACTGTTCCCGCATATTCATGGCTATTTATATATTTTCGCAAATATTGAAATTTACGTAATATAGTATAAAACTNATTTTCAGACATGTACACAACAAATATCAAAGCACATTAAAACATATCTAATTAGTTTTACATGAATAACAATTGGGTTTATAACACATTGTCATGTAATTTTCAAAATAGAATTTAGTAGTCTATTTTTAAATTATAAATATACTTAGAGAGTTGCTTCTTTTTAAGTCAAGAGGCAGGTTATTCCACATCTTAAGAAGAGAGCTTGATGGTAAATACTGTAATGAGCTCATATTGAGAATGTCAAGTTGATAGTAAAGAGATCTTTCAAAGTTTCCAAGCTTATTAAAAATATTTTTAAAAGATGTAGGAAGAAGTTTATTTGTATATTATATAAATATAGCTTGGTTAAAGACTACCAGAGGCCAAATTTAAAGTCGCGGCTTAAATTTAAGCTACGACTCAAATATGGTTGGCTCCACTTAAAATTTTATCCTATTTTTAAGCCGGCGCTCAGTTAAAACCGGTTTTTGGGGAATTTGAGAAGCGAAGTAAAACAAATATTTTTAAATGCCAAGCCATCAAGGCTTACGATTGGAGTTAGTAAAAGACCATTTTTGTTTTTAAAATTGGATTTAATTTATATTAATATTAATATTAATTAATATTATATTAATCATTGCACCGCTGTTTTGTAATCTTTCTTTTTATTACAAACTAGTTGAAGTGCCAGGCGTTGCCCGTGGAATTTTGAAAATCGAAATAAACCTAAAAAGTTATAATTTATTTAGCTTATGTTATCCCCAAGGGTATCCATGAGTTTCCTCACTAAAATCAGCCCATTTGATTCAGTCGTTTGGGCCAGCCATAGCAAACACATTAATGAACCCAGAGCTTTATTAAATAGATTACAATTGTACTTCTACTTCTTTTCAAAACAGAAACTTTTACAAGCCATAATTATTTTCTGGACCTTTGTCCTTTTTTCATCTCATAGAATTCAAGTTTAAGTTGAGTTTTTCATTTTCAAAACTGTCTTCTCCTATCTCTAGTTTAAATACCAATTATTTCTACCATAACAGTAGAATAAAATGTCAAATGTTTAGAAACAATGTTTTTTTGCTAGTTTTGTTTAAAGGAGAGATAAAGTAGTACTTGCAAGGTAATTGGACTTTAAGTGTACCTTTAAAGTATCTTATGCCTATATATTCAAGAAGCCAAATGTTTTGAATTTACAGTTCAATTCCCCCCCCCCCTAGGAGCTCTTAGGGAAAGGGGCGAAAAAAATCCCCCCCCCCTAGATTTATTTCTGTATACGATCTTGTAATCTCAATAGCTTTTCAATAACAGGAGTTATGACAGAAAACGTACTATTTTTTATGATGTTACATACACTTTAACATTTTGTATATTGGTAGGTTTATTGAATCTCACTGTAGATAATTAATATTCATCTCATAGTAGTAGGTTTATTGAATCTCACTGTAGATAATTAATATTCATCTCATAGTAGTAGGTTTATTGAATCTCACTGTAGATAATTAATATTCATCTCGTAGTGGTAGGTTTATTGAATCTCGCCGTAGATAATTAATATTCATCTCTATCTGTATGTTTATTGAATCTCACTGTAGATAATTAATATTCATCTCGTAGTGGTGTGTTTATTGAATCTCATTGTAGATAATTAATATTCATCTCTATCTGTCATTAAACTAGATGAACAATGCATATTTAATGAATAATATGCATATAATTGGTATACTTGCTTCTTATGATTGACAGCCCCCCTCCCCCCTCCCAGTTCAATATGTATTTATTATAATAACAGGCTAATCAACATGCTATACGTTGACATATTAGTTAGAACACTATATTTATAGTTGCATGGGTATTCATTAAAAACAGAAACTCCCCCACCCTAACGGACCCTCCCCCCCCT